AGATAGATAGATAGATAGATAGATAGATAGATAGATAGATAGATAGATAGATAGAGAAAAACAAAACAGGGATAGAGGAGCAGAGAGGAAAAAAGATAGAGAGAGAAGCATGTTGAGATAGACACAGAGGCTACGGAGTTGAAGCGTTCTGAACTTACTTACTTACTAAAGTTGGAAAAAGTCAAGAAGGTCCTATCTATCTGAAAACATGTCCGAGTGGCGCTGTGACGCACGTCACTCATTCACGATGGCCACTTATTGACGCCGCAGTCAAATCTTTTGTCTTTTTTGAGGTGCAAGTGTAATCTCAAGCGTCTGATCTGTCGCCTCTGTTCGATGAGTTAATCAGGGAACTGTCACTTGACAAAACTCGTCTGACACTTCAGCTTCGACGAACAATTTCACATGACAGATTAATCACCCCGTAACGATGTGGATTATCAATCCGTACCCGTCCTTGCAATCGTCCCGCTGACCCAGACAAAGAAGGCCCGTCAAAGTTGACGTCTTTTGGTCAAACGTTTAAGATACCCTCGTTAAAAAAATTTTAAAAAACAATCACAGCAATGGCGCTGATTTTCTTGACGAAACTGATCAGTCTAATTTAAGACATGTTGGCTGATATGAAGAAAAAGAACAAGATAGCGCGATTAACTTATTAGCGACGAGAGTGCTTGATCGTTTCCTTGCATGGACTTTGATAAATGTATCAATAAATATCAAGTCTTGCGCTGTCCGTAGTTGGTACGTTTAATCTTGAAAGATTGTTGTTTAATAAGAAACCCTATCACAGAAACTGCGTGTCCTTGATGAGACATTTTCTAATGCTTTATCTCGAAAATTCGACAGTATTTGATGTCGGTGATAATGATAGATCTTTTAAGCCTCATGTGATAGTTGTTTACGTGTCTGATACTTCAGACGTTGTTGCTATTTACACTGACACAGAAAGCAAGTAGATTCCTCACTCTCCTTTTGGCGGCACGCATTGACACTATCAGGGTTCAGAAACCCAAGCCAGGGGCGTGTGTGTTCGGGGAGGGTTGGGAGAGGGGGGGGGGGTCCTGATGATTGAGGTTTAGGACGGTAAATGAGGGGTGGGAGTGGGCGTAAATCCTGTCCGTATCTTCCACCATTCAAGTGAAGCAATGCTTTTTATTCTAGTATTCTTATCGTTGTAAATGTTTACCACCGTTTGCGTTAATGAGTTATTCTGGGGGGTTTTCTGTCGTGTGATTTTGTCAACTGTTTTAGTTTTACACAATTAGTTTGAGCTAAATAAAAAAACGACCGCAGATTGCTCAGGCCTTTAAACGGGTAAATGGGTGTTTGCTGCTTTAGAACAATTTCTTATTGTGCATGCCCAATTCGCGTTTAGGGTGTTTCACAACTATTATCATAAACTTTACAAGGCTCACAGAGGATTATAACTTTTAAATCGACAATAAACAGAAAAGAAAGTTTTCTGCTAAAGCAGAAATCTTAAAAATATCGAGAAATTTCTCAGCGAAGGTATAATTTTCTTTAATTAATCTTGTGGAGTTGAAAGCCTGTTGGTTAGGTTAGTGGACTCGTAATCGTAAGATTGCGGGTTCGGGGGTTCGAGCCTCATCTCGGTCCGACGTTGTGTCCTTTGGAAAGGCACTATACACGAATTTCCCATTTGGCTCTTTCCTTTCGGAGATGGGTGTTAAATTCCGGGGTCCTGCCTCTTAAATAACCTATCAGTGTTGATAGGGACATTACATCTATAAGATTTAAATTTCACCATTTGCACCCTGAGTAGTCTCACCTGTTGGTTTTGGTAGGCAGTGACCGCCATAAAGGACGTTTGTGGGAATAGAATGGAGTAGCTCTCTGTCTTCTTCCCTTCCTCCTGCCCCTCCACACAGACCTCTTCTATACGGACTTGGGGCTGGAACTTTTGCATCGAGGCCAGAGACACCTGGAAGATTGCAGATAGTATTAGGGTTTGTTGCAATGGAAATATAAACACTGGCTCAAAGACAGCATTGAGAATGAGACAGGGGGTGAGCCAAAATGTGAGAGGAAGATATGATATAGACAGAGAGAGATGTAATAGAGCTAGAGAGAGAGAGAGAGGGGAGGGAGAGGGAGAAAGGGCGGGAGAGAGAGAGAGAGAGATGGGGGGAGGAGAGAGAGAGAGAAAGAGAGAGAGAGAGAGAGGCAGACAGACAGATACACAGA